ACATTGCTTCTTCTTCTGAGGACCATTTGCTATCTAGGGTTCGCAAGGCTTTGAACCTAAAGGAGACTTCTAAAGGGAAACCTTACATCTCCAGCTGCTATTTTTCAGACCTTAGGATAAAAAGGGCTATCTTTCCAGTGCATAACTATTAAAGAACTTACCACAGAGGAATGGTCGAGGACAGACATAAAACCTTCAACCCATGCCATCATCTAGGATGTCATCCAGGTAATAGAATACAAATATGCCCTGCTTTCTTAGTTAGATATAAGAACCACGAGCTTTATTAAGGAAGGAAGAGCTCTGAATTGGAAGTAGCCTTCTTCCAGAATGAACCTTAGCAATGGGGATTTGTCCAGCAAATCTATTGACATCATCCAGGTTTTTTCTCTTTATCCGTTTGATAATAAGGACTCTGAACATGTCACTCTGCTCCTAAGATGGATGCAGGTTCATTCAAAGACCCAATAGATAAAAAGATAGACTTCAATCTCTCTAAAGCCCATGTGGCAGCAGGCACAGGCTTTCATCCAGGAGTAGTCCTTAGTTCAGTGACTAGGGTGGTAAACATATGGATAGACAATTTGGAGGAGGTTATTAGAGATGGCAAGAGCAAATCTTCTATCTTGGCATCTTAAAATATATGAAGCTGGCCATATACTTTTCTTCAGATGCAGCTATTGATATGGTAAGAGTCTGAGCCAGAAATACTGTTCTCTCAGTTTCTGTCATTAGAGTGCCCTGGCTCATATCTTGGTCTGCGGATGCTTCCTTCAAAAGGATTCTGTGCGCTCTCCCCTTTCATGGAGACAAGTTAAACAAATGTACAAAGAGAGCAGCAGAAAGTAGTAGGGCCTTTTTCTTTCAAGATCTCAGAGCCAATGGTCCTTTTCATTCAAAAGAGCTTTGGAATATTATTCCGTTCGAGACAACAGATCCTACAGGTCTGGAAGGGAATATGGAAGGTCTCAACCCTGGAAAAGTGGACAGTCTGGATTCAGAGGGGGAAAATCCAGAGGGTCTTCTTACTCCAAAAACATCAATGATTTTTAGATAGGGTTTTCTTTCCAGTCAAGAAGAATAGGGGCAAGTCTTGCCTAATCCAAAGAAGATATATTCTAGAATTTTACAGGACACCTCCACATTGTTCCTTTCAAATAAAATGGCCAGAGGACAAGGAAAAAAAGTATTGTCCTTCAAGAATTTAAGAAGAAGGAGTTATTATAGAAGTACAAAGGTCAGAAAGAACACATGGATTCTACTCACATCTTTTCCTCAAAAGAAAGGCCTCAGGAGGTTGGAGAACCTTGCAAGTTTAAGATGAAGTCCTTGCAGTCCACCATACAGGCAGTTTTTCCAGGCCAATGGATGATGTCAATAGATGTGCTGGACTCTTCCCCATTTCACATCCCCATTGCTAAGTTTCATTCTGGAAGAAGGCCTCTTCCAGTTCAGAGCTCTTCCTTCCTCAATACAGCTCCAAGGTCATTCTCAAAGGTTCTAGTGGTTCTCATATCTAACTAAGAAAGCAGGGCATATCTGTATTCCATTACCTGGATGACATCCTGATAATAGCAGACAACAAGTAAACCTAATCATCCCATGATCAGATTTGTGTTAGATTCCTGCAACAGCACAGCTGGAAGTTTAATGTCAACAAGAGCAATCTATCTCCTGCTCAGTCCATTATATAACTTGGAGGACTTTTTGACACAAGCTGCAGGGACTGTTCAACTCTATCAAACAATAAGTGCATGGCTGGGGGGCGTGTCCAACCTCCAACGTGAGCGGACGCATGGAGTAGGAGCTCCACTCCATACTGAGCCAAAAAGCTGTTTAAATTGCACAAATAAAAGTTACTAACTGGAGGAAAAGTGAAGGGGAACGTGTCACAGAGATGTCTCCATCAAAGCAGACAAAGCTTACAGACCTGTCCAGAAAAACCAAGAAAGAAAGACACAAAATGATCCAAGATGGCGCTGGGTCAGAGACTCCCGGCAGGCCTCTGAAGGCTCGACAGACCTCGACCAGACTCCAGAAACAGAGGCAGAGGGGCACATCACTAAGATGTATCTCAAGACTGTACTCCAGGAATTGAGATCAACGATCCGGGAAGATTTTACTACAATTATATCTGGTATACACCAGGAAATTGCTGAGCTGGGCGACCGTACAGACCACCTTGAGCAGAAAACTGAGGAGCTGTGCTCAGCTCACAATGCAACAGCCGACAAACTCCAAGCACTAGAAGCTGATAATGCAAAGCTGTGGCAGAAGCTGGCGGACATGGATGACAGGTCGCGAAGAAACAATGTAAGGTTTAGGGGGATAGCGGAATCTGTCCTGCCCGATAAGCTTACAGACTATATCACTACCATGTGCGCAGTAATGGCATCTACAATTAGCGGCACAGCATGGGAGCTTGATAGAGTGCACCGATTGCCAAGGCCACCACGCCTCACTCCGGATACCCCACGCGATGTTATCGCCCGATTTTCACCACTGTAAATCTAAAGATGCCCTTCTTACAGCGGCAAGGGCAATGCCCAACATGCCTGCGTCATATGAAGGTTTAGCGCTATATGCTGATTTATCGGCCATAACCATGGCCCGACGCAGAGACTTCTCCACAATATCTAAAACGCTACGCAATCACAAGCTGGCTTATAGATGGGGCTTCCCTACGAAACTCCTGATATGGCGCAATGGCAAACTAAATGTGATAGTGGATCCGGACCATGGACTTACCACCCTGAAGGAGTGGGGCCTGTGGGACACCCAAGGAACAGCTAGACCTCCAGAGACTTCCCTACAACGATTCCATCCGGAATGGAAAATGGTGGGTCAACCTCAGCACTAGACCAACACACGGCACCAGTTACCCACAAAATAACAATGGGGGATTCGATCATCACTTGCACTATAAGGCTGACTGAACCGACCAAACTGGAATTTCACATCGACAATACCTGCATTACTTGCCTGCTGGACTTTCACACTAAAATGCGTGTAGCTGCCTTCAGGACTGGTATTATACATGCAATAATATTGTTGTTCAGTTGATTTGTTTAGGCTATGGCTCCCTTTCCATCTTCCTAAACTAGGGCACTAAAACTAGGGACTAATATTGTGCATATACTGGTATTGGTATTTAGTTGTTGGGTCTAAAGTTTAGCCCCCTCCCCACTTACATACCGTAACCCGCGGGGAAAGTGCACTAAAACAGGGCCTACACGTAAGGTGGAGATGATACCAAACCCTGCCGTGCTTGCATACCTACCCACTATCATACAGGGCAAGATTAACAACCCTAAGGGACATATGGTACCCCATGTGAGGAACTCAGGGCAGAGGCATGGATCTACTCTAACATCGAGCCATAACAGACATGACTGGGGATGATCCACAACAAGGGACATCGAAGCATGGCACTAGGCACTTGCATCCAGCTATTAGCACATCTGGTCCACAGCGTTAGGGACAGGTACGACATAGCACCCACTGAGCAATAAACTAGGTCTTAAGGAAGGCAGGGGCGAAGGCCACGATCCAAGAGAGCCAGGGGCTACCCATGAACCCATCCTTTACCATACTACCTAGGCAAAGTCCAGATTAAAAAAAAAACTAAAATAAAACACCCCACAACTTGTTCACGCTAGTATGCCCGCAATCCCCCTCCAACACACAGTGAGGTTAAGCATACTATCCCCCTCTGGAGACTGGTGCTTCTAATCTGTAAGAAACAGGAGGCTGTTTATACTGCAGCTCCAACACCACATCCTTACGCATGAATGTGCGGAAAAGTTAATTAATAGCATTGTTAAGGCTCGGGAGCGAGCTAGCTCCACACGGCCCCCAATTGGGATGCTTACTGGGAGGACACAAGAGAGCTCCCCAGTACGTCCACAGTTGTACTCTCAATGGAGAGAGTTGTATATATACTTTGTTTGCATTGTTTATGTTTATGTTTTTTAACTGTCTCACAATCGAGGTAGCTTGCCAACAACTAGGACCCAGGTTGTTGATTCCCATACACACCAAACAGGTCTCATCCACTATCAATACAGTCGATGGTGTACATTTATTCCAACCCCAGCCCTAGGGCAACACAGCTGATATAACAATTTAGCACTTTCTCTGGAATGACACATCAATTTAAATGTCTCTCCCTGAACATCAATGGCCTGAATAGCCCGTTCAAGAGACACTCAGTCATGAGAGAGATACACAATTTGAAGGCAGCGATAGTCTGTTTACAGGAAACCCACCTATGCACACGGAACCCTCCGGCCTTTAAACAGGCCTGCTATGCACTCTCACCACACAAATACAAAGGGTTCTCTATAATGTTCCACAATGATTGGGTCTTCCAACAAACAGAGATGTACCAAGATAAATTGGGTAGATTACTGATAATGGTGGGTACACTGAATGGCATTACAATTACTGTGGCCTCTTTGTATGCCCCCAACGAAGCTCAAGCCCCCTTTTTAAAGACCGCATTAAATAAAGTCACAAACCTTAGGCAAGGCCACACTATCATATGTGGGGAATTCAGCTGTACACTGGATCCCAGCCTGGACACTCAGAGAGCGCAGGGAAAAAGCCCCCTGCACCAAGCCACTTCCTTAAGCCGCAAAATCTCCACACTCCTCAACACACACGATCTCTATGATACATGGCGCAACTTATTTCCAAGTGGGAGGGACTACACCTACTTCTCACCAGTACACCATACATACTAATGCATAGATATGTGTCTAGTCGATAAAATGACACTGCAAAAAGTGACAGACGTAACGATAGGGAATAGGACATGGTCGGACCATGCCCCGGTCATTACCACATTCAAAACTCTATATCCCGTGAGAGGTAGAAGTATGTGGAGACTAAATGAAACCCTATTAAACAAGGCAGGACTATTAACAAAACTAACCAGCACTGTCCAGTTGTTCTACCAGGAACACGCTAATGATAAGTCCACCATACCAGTGCAATGGATGGCCCTCAAAACAGTGATCAGGGGCCTCCTTATACAAATGGGAGCGACCCGCAAAAGGAAAGGAAATAAGGAAAAAGAGCGCCTGCTAGAGGACCTTAAACAAATAGAGGCCAAAAATAAACTCAATCCATCGAAAAAATTAACTAAACAAGTTAATAAAATAAATTCAGAACTACATGCACTATCCCTAACCACTATGGAAAGACAAATGCGTAAACTCAACCTAATTCATTACACGCAGGGTAATAAAGCTGGCAAAACATTAGCACGTCGATTGAAAACACACTATCTGCAGTCTAAACTACCTTACATGACATCAGCTGCCAACACAAAACTATACAATCCCCAGGATATAGTGGAAGAACTGGCCTCCTTCTACGATACACTGTATAACTTACAATGAGCAAATGACACTTACCAGCCCTCCAAGAGCGAAATCCTTGATTTCCTAAGTGATGTGGAATTACCCCTACTGACAGACACTCAAAGATTATCCCTACTAACACCATTTTCAGAGGAAGAAGTGAACAAGACCATTTGCTCCCTTCCCAAATGTAAAGCACCTGGCCCGGACGGGTTCCCCAACTCCTTCTACACAACGCTTGCCACACAACTCACACCGCACCTTACCAAATTATTTAATCATTTCAAAGACTCTGGGAACATCCCGAAAGAGATGATCCTAGCACATGTAATAACACTACCTAAACCAGGGAAAACCCCAACAGAATGCGCGAACTTGAGACCAATCTCATTATTGAATGCAGACACCAAACTGTACGCAAAGCTGTTAGCCACACGCATCAAACCGATGCTACTAGATATGGTCTCCCCGGAACAGGCAACCGGGAGACAACACTCGCCATTTTTTAAATCTGATTCAATGGGCACAAAATACCCAACAACAGGGCATATTACTAGCACTAGACGCTGAAAAAGCGTTTAATTGCCTAAACTAATCATATATGACAGAAGTTATGACCAAAATGGGGTTCCCCCCTCATTTCAAAAACAGTGTAATGGCCCTATACTCAAACCCTACGGCCAAAGCTTACAACACCGGCTTCCTATCTCAGCCATTCATAATAACTAATGGCACCAGACAAGGATGCCCCCTCTCCCCGCTGATCTTCATCCTATGCATGGAACTATTGATTAAACATATCAAAACAATAGACACAATCAAGGGACTAGCCACCCAGATAGGGACGATGAAGATTGCCCTATTTGCAGATGACATCCTGCTGTTTATAACTAAACCATCTCAGTCACTACCCCATTTACTAACATTACTCGATAGTTACGGTAGAGTGTCTTACTACAAAAACAATGCGAAAAAGTCACAAGCCCTAACGATCCGCTTGCCCCAACACACACTACAAGCCCTCAAATACAAATACCCATTAGATTGGCGAAAAACGTCGATCTCATACCCCGGTATCCAATTACCTGCCTCGCTGACAACGATAATTAAAGTAAACCCTCTACCACTTTTGCAAAAACTAGATCTCCAACTCAAACAATGGGAAGATAAAGGAACATCATGGTTGGGCCGCATAAACACTGTTAAGATGATTTTGCAGCACATTTTTTACCTCTTCCGAACCTTGCCTATACCGATCCCGAACACAATAGTAAAAAGATTCCAATCAACTATAAACGCACACATATGGAAGAGGAAACCCCCCCGTGTTTCCCAAAACTTGCTCTGGAGACCTTTCTTGAAAGGAGGCCTAAACGTTCCCAATATTCAGCTACATTATATGACATCAAGTGTTAACTCAGCAGAAAAAAACATGAGTCTGTTAGGTTCCATGTTCTCCACAATAGGGCTGACAAGGTGGTCTTTTTCAAGAAAAAGTGGAAATTCTGTACAATCAACATACCTTCAAACCTCCTGGAACTACTAATTCTCCTAAACACCTTAAAACATTTTTCACAAAATCTTTGACACAAGTGGGGAAAGATAAGATCAGACAATCACATGGTTGTAGCATACATCAATCATTAGTGAGGAACCAGAAGTCACAAGATGATGAAAGTAATGATATCTTGGGCACGACTACATCTGGCAGATCTGAGAGCCATCCATGTTCTGGGAGTACAGAACACATGGCAGATTTCGTCAACAAAGTCAAGATAGATCCAGAGGAATAAAGCTTTTTAGACAGTGTTCCAGGTGATAGTGAAGAAATGGGGCCATCCTCAAGTGGATCTAATGGCAACACGCAGCAACAGGAAGGTCCAGAAATTCTTTACAACAAGCAGCGATTCTCAATCTCTCAAAAAGAGACACACTATCTTGCAGATGGCAATTCAGTGTGGAGTACGCTTTCGCACAATCTCCTTTTATCTACCCTATCCTGAGGAGATTGAGACAAGCTCCATTCTGGCCTCGCATACCATAGTGCCCACTTCTCCTGAGTCTTTGCAACAAACCCCGACAGCAGCTTTCAAAAACGTTCCATCTCCTATGCATCAAGGCAAAGTTATCCATCCAGATCCATTATCCCTCAACCTGATGACATGGAGATTAAAGGGGAAGGGCTGAAAGATGAGGGTTTCTCTCAGGCAGTTATTGATACTCTGCTAATGGCAAGGAAATGCTCTACTTCTACCACATACTTCAGAGTTTGAGACATATTATCTTGCTCGGCCACTTCTAGAAATATGGATGTACATGGATTTTACCAAAGACAATCCACCTGTTAAGCCATTTGCTCCTCCTTGGGAACTGCCTCTGGTCTTAAAAGCCCTAAATACGTATCGATTTGAACCATTAGATCTGATCTCTCCCCATTCATTCACCATAAAAACAGTATTATTGGTGGCCTTAGCTTCTAAAGAACCTTTCACAGTTTTCCACAAAGACAGAGTTATATTGCACACAGTTCCTGAATTCTGACCTAAGGTGACTTCCTCTTTTCATACTAATGATGAATTGTGCTTCCATCCTTACATCCGGAGGTACAAGAAATGGGGAAGTAGTGCATCTCTCCACTCTGGACCTGGTGAGATGTCTAAGAATATTTTTAGACAGAACTGGACAAACTGGACTTAGTTCTCTCATTTTGTGTGATTGTTATGTTTGGTTGTTGTGCAAATACACTTTGCATTGCGTAACTTGGAGTCTGTGTTTTTTTAATTCCTTCCCTTAGAGAAGACTGAGGGATGAGAGGGTGGAAGGGGGTATTTATACCCTTTGTTTAATTAGTTTCTGCTTCATTAGGGATAGGGAGGAGCTACCCATTGTTGTGCTGCAGGGGCCTATGACCAGGAAAGGAAAATTACAGTAAGTATGAATACATTTACCATATATATATATATATATATATATATATATATATATATATATATACACAATGTAGAACAGCTTGGCACTCTCCTTGCAAAAAGGAAAAAAAGCAAAATTGCCTAGGTGCTACCTGCGTTAGAAATATATAAATATAGAGACGGGGTGCACTCACAGGTCTTGGAAAAAGTGGCAACTGGTTTATTTAAATGTTTCGACGTTTCGACCCCTAAGGGTCTTTCTCAAGATCTTGAAAGACCCTTAGGGGTCGAAACGTCGAAACATTTAAATAAACCAGTTGCCACTTTTTCCAAGACCTGTGAGTGCACCCTGTCTCTATATTTATATATTTCTAACGCAGGTAGCACCTAGGCAATTTTGCTTTTTTTTCCTTTTTGCAAGGAGAGTGCCAAGCTGTTCTACATTGTGTATATATATATATATATATATATGGTAAATGTATTCATACTTACTGTAATTTTCCTTTCCTGGTCATAGGCCCTTGCAGCACAACAATGGGTAGCTCCTCCCTATCCCTAATGAAGCAGAAACTAATTAAACAAAGGGTATAAATACCCCCTTCCACCCTCTCATCCCTCAGTCTTCTCTAAGGGAAGGAATTAAAAAAACACAGATCTTGAGAAAGACCCTTAGGGGTCGAAACGTCGATTTTTGTCACAGATGTATTGAAGATTTTTTCGTTTAAATAAACCAGTTGCCACTTTTTCCAAGACCTGTGAGTGCACCCCTGTCTCTATGTTTATATATATATATATATATATATATATATATATATATATATATATATATATATATATATATAAAATGTATTCATATATACAATATTCATATATACAATTAGTGATGTCGCGAACATAAAATTTTCGGTTTGCGAACGGCAAACGCGAACTTCCGCAAATGTTCGCGAATGGGCGAACCGCCATAGACTTCAATAGGCAGGCGAATTATACGCTGTGTAAAGCATACTTTTTAATTGATTTTGGAACTGCTGCATCCTTTCCGACTTGCCGTAATTCAGTAACATTTCAGGCACTTTCTGCTTATACCGGGGGTCTAGTAGCGTGGACACCCAGTACAGGTCATTCTCCTTCAGCCTTTTTATACGAGGGTCCCTCAACAGGCATGACAGCATGAAAGACCCCATTTGCACAAGGTTGGATGCCGAGCTAGTCATGTCCTGTTCCTCGTCCTCAGTGATCTCACTGAAGGTATGTTCTTCCCCCAGCCAGGTACAACACCATGGGTACCAGATAGGTGACAACGAGCACCCTGGGATGCCTGTTGTGGTTGGTCTTCCTCCTCCTCCTGAAAGCCACATTCCTCCTCTGACTCCTCTTCCTCACAATCCTCTTCCAGAGTTGCCGCAGGTTCAGCAAGCGATGCTGATAAGGCTGTTTCTGGTGGTGATGGTGACCACAACTCTTCCTCTTCCTCTTCATGCTCATCTACGGCCTGATCCGGCACTCTTCGCAGGGCACGCTCCAGGAAGAAAACAAATGGTATGATGTCGCTGATGGTGTCTTCGGTGCGACTGACTAGGTTTGTCACCTCCTCAAAAGGACGCATGAGCCTACAGGCATTGCGCATGAGCGTCCAGTAACGTGGCAAAAAAATTCCCAGCTCCACAGAGGCTGTCCTAGCACCCCGGTCATACAAATACTCGTTAATGGCTTTTTCTTGTTGGAGCAGGCGGTCGAACATTAGGAGTGTTGAATTCCAACGTGTCGGGCTGTCGCAAATCAAGCGCCTCACTGGCATGTTTTTTCGCCACTGGATATCTGAAAAGTGCGCCATGGCCATGTAAGAACTCCTGAAATGGCCACACACCTTCCTGGCCTGCTTCAGGACGTCCTGTAAGCCTGGGTACTTATGCACAAAGCGTTGTACGATCAGATTACACACATGTGCCATGCACAGCACATGTGTCAACTTTCCCAAATGCAATGCCGCCAACAAATTTCTTCCGTTGTCACAAACCACTTTGCCAATCTCCAGTTGATGCGGAGTCAGCCACTGATCCACCTGTGCATTCAGGGTGGACAGGAGTGCTGGTCCGGTGTGACTCTCTGCTTTCAGGCAAGTCAACCCCA